ATATATATATATATATATAAATTCGCAATTTGTCATCAGTTTGGTGTTATCCTAAATGAAGCAATTACAATAGCCCATATCAAATGAAATACATGTATTGAGAAAAAAAATATAACTTGAATGGGAAATTCTATCCAAGAAAATATACAACTTTGCTTCACATTCAGACAGTAGTAACACATTCACACCTATCAGTACAAAGTTTGCTTTGTAGCTTAGATGTTAAATAGCCAAGCTCAGATCATAGTAACCGCTCCAATTTACCAGCTGATAGAGCAGTGCAGGACCGTATCTAGCTGCCACTGGAGGTTTGCGGTGGTGTACAATTTATAATGGACCTACTGGGGTATGGTGTCCCCTGGAATCCCTGGCGGGGTAAAGGTTCAGAGATGTTTACATCTCAGCTTCAGTACTGTAGGGGTTCCAATTGCCCAAAGTACTGGTTAAAATGTAAACATTAAAAATTTTTGGAAAATAGTTACAGAAAACAAATTTAGCTGAACCTATTCCGCAATCATTGCACCCTCCTGGATGTGAGCCTGCGGTGGAATAGTTATCAGAGGTCACTGGTTCAAATCTCACTAAGTCAATGCATTTTTTTCAAGTGTACAGTACATCTTTATATACAATGTGCTCACAAATTAAGTAAAATAAAAATAAATCAAAACTTAAATATTTTCCAAAAGTGGAAATTCAGAAAGAATATCTCATTGGTCAAATATATGAAATAAAAATTATCAAGCAAAAAGCATTTTTCATTTTTGTTGGAGCAGCATGTCAAACCCTAAAGTTTAAAAAGCATGTTTCGAAAAATTATCATCAGCGCTTCATTCTAAGATGATAATTAAGCATCACAGTAAATCAGAGAGTATATTGGACTTGGAAATATATATTGGAAGTGGAAATATATATGGACTCATCAGTGCTTTATTCTAAGATGATAATTAGGCATCACAATAAATCTGAGAGTATATTGGACTTAAATATACATGGATTCAAAATAGTCATATGGCCATTGACCACTAGACAGCCACTATAATCATAGTATACTAAAAAAAAATCTATTATAATAGAAATAAATGTAGCACATATTTTTGGTTATAAAGAATACAAAACTTTTTACAATAGCATAATAAAGCAAATCGGCATAGCTATTACACAAGACAAATACACAACGCATAATTTGTATTTTACCTTATGAAAAATAAACTGAAGGCACTTTTACTAACTCTAGCCAACAAACACTCCTCTCACAGACTGACACACTGACGTTTTCAACCAAACAAGTGCCTGACCTAATATTAAAGAGATGACCTTGTAATATCATCAATTTACACCATTTTTAACTATGATCATTTAAAGAAATTTTGGTTTTAAGAGAGCCGTGAAATTATCTTGTTCAACCCTGTGTACTGTAAAGATTTTTCTCACCAGAGAGACCCGAATACAAATACATATATGAAGGGTCTCAACAATGATTATGGTTCCATTTCACTTACAGTGACTTAAAATTCCACCATTAAGGGTGAGAACAATAGGGCTGAAAATGATCAGTGTCACCTACTAAACACGATGTCAAATACAAACAAGTCAAATTCTATACAATACCCTTATAGGACGACTAATTGCACAAAACATGAAACATTATATTCTGAGAACATACAACATATGTAGACTTTATATAGACACCGCTATAGAAATTAGAAACTGTTGAACTATTGAATAAGTTATCAAAATAAGTTTTTGTTTTCTGAGTTGCATATCAGCAAGATAACGGATACTGTACTTGCTGTAAAACATGCTCCAAAATAAAACAAAATACTTTCAATGAAGTATACAACTTAAATTCTACAACAGTCAATCATTCATTACTGTAACAACAACAGGATCCAACAATGTTCAAGAAAAAAAACTTTCTGTATAATGTACCAAAGCCAAGTAAAAAACCATATTTATGCAATTACAAAGCAGTGAGCAGCAGTATTTTTTATATCTAAAATCATTATTTTTATTTTTTTTGGAACACTGCATTTCTTAAACAATATATAAATTTTGTTCCAACAACTATTCCAGAATAATGATTTGTATCTTACTGTATTTTTCTAAGACTTATTAGCAATTGTAGAAAAGTTTGGTTATAACAGTGTAAGAAACAGTTAAAGTGGAAATAAAAAGCAATGTGTAAACAAGTTAAAACTTGGCAGGCATAACAATGTTACTCTTTAAAAAATGAACAAACATCACTGTTAGATCGCGGGAAAAACATTTTTCCATCCTTGGTTTGTCGCAAAATCCGACCTTGGCAGACTATGTCCTGCAAGAAAAAAAAAAACCATTTAGTATGGAATACTAAGCAAGACCAATATGTACTATCGTTAAGCAATATGTCTTTAAAAAGCAATTTTTCATGGTTATTTATTTATTAGTTTGTGCTTTTAGAATGTGAGAATGTGTAAGTCCAAGATAAACTAACTATATGAAGGATGCTACTTTAGATGGTTTTATTCAATCACATATTTACTTATCAACTGAAAAGGATAGTGATATTGCTGCATGAAAAGCCAATAAAAGGATATGAACCTCGGGAATTTGTTCAGGCTCAAATTACATCTACTTTACCTGCATGGATAGTTGATTAAATTAACATTTGATTTATTCGGTGGGTACACCAAGGATAACCATTGAAAGAAAGTCAAAAGACTTATTTCCAGTGGTATCCTTCTGTTGGTGATTCTGCAGTACACTGGCAGACAATCAATTATTCTTTTCCAAAGATTCCAAATGGGCTATATTTGCACACAGGATCAATGGATTAGTGTAAATAACTCTTCCGAAAAAACGGTGCATTTTTATATAAAACTTATTTATATATTTTTTGTATATCTTGACAAATCAGGCCTGATCAATATTGATGAGAGGCGGCCACAATATTCATATTCGTATTCATTTAATTTATAAGCCATGAAATGCTTGCACCTAGGGTTAAAACATAGTGTGAGCCACTTTACAACCCGTCAACAGTGCAAGCTGGGTTAACTAAGCATGGCAGGCAGAAAATGGTCAGCGTGTGGTTCCAACCCTCGACAATGTTCAGAACCTGAATGGAAATCGCTGTGTCAAACAGTTACATTGACGGACATGTAAGAATCAGTTGTTATTGCATTTATGCCTAAGGATCTGGAGGAAAACCATTCTCAAATATGTTGTACAAATGAATTTTTATTGGAGTTTGTTAGGTTTGCTAATTTGAAAAGAAGTAAACACGTTGGTTGATTCAATACATATTTGTATTAGGTGTTAGGATATGCATTTGTGTACTTGAAAAGTAGTAACCCAATCAGTTAACACAGAAAATAATCTTTGACTAATACTTACTGAATTCTCCTGTGGCCATCTGTACAGACAGTATCTATATTTTTCAGCATCTTCATCAAATTCTTTAATACCATTAAGGAATTTTAAATCATAACGTACATCATCTAAAACAATACAAATAATTATAAACATATTTTCAAGCTTTCTTATTGAGAAATACTATTAACAAATAATTCACTGGTCACCATATAGACTAAAGAAGCCCAATTTACACTGACAAATTGGAGCTAAGATCAGCTGCGAGATGGCCCTGCCAAACATAGTTATCCATACACTGAGTTTTAGAAATTTAAGTTGTTTTTGAGTGTTTTTTTTTTTTTTTTTTTTTTTTTGTGAGGAAGAGTACTACAATGTTCCTAATTTGCACTCAGGACCCAATGTTTAACAGTCTGTAGTCAATATGTTGAGGAAAATACTTACACTGCAAAAATGGGAACAGAATTATAACTAGACTTCGGCAAGGGCTGTGAATTCTATGCTACTAATATGAACTGGTGTTGAGAATCACAATGACTTTAAAGAGGATAAAGTAGTGACCTATGGTAAAACTTTGGTGTGAAATTAATGATTGGTTTAAGAGATACTGTATAAAATATTTATTTTTAAAACTTGTATTATTTAAAATTATAATCTGAGTGAGTAATTTAAGATATTAAGTATTTGAGGTGCCTGAAAAATCCACTTGGCCATACTATTCTCATTTTGTGCTGTACTAAAAAAAACCCCCAAAAAACATACACATAAATGTACGTACAGATACTTGTGTATACACACAGACGTACACACACCCACACAGACACACAAACACACTGGTTCCTAGAATATGCATTTTAACAAATGTGACCAGCTTTGGCTAAACCAGTTTTTATATTCTGCATAAATACTTCATTACAACAGTGTTCATTTGATATTTAATTTATTTGATATCCGACATGTAGGTATTGAGAGAACAGCTTTCAAAGATTCCAAAACCAATAGTTTATTTTTAATATTTGTATTGTAAAAATAATTTTAATATACTCCTCAGTTAGATTTAGTGATTGATATTTTGCAGAAATATACTTTAATATATCTTCTTAAAAATAAAAAAAATGATGTTTTGGGTGCTTGAGCGAAATTAGAAATTGCAAGAAATGGCGGATTTTGCCAGAGCCGGCCACAAATGTCAGATTTTTAAAAATACCTGAATCGTCAAGCTGAACTTGAAATTGAAGAGAACATGATGTTAATTCCAAGCCAAATGTGTAATCAGCAGAGGTCTTAACAGTAACAGTCACCGTGTAATAGACCCTAGTGAAGAGTGAACCTGAAACTTCGCTGACTGCAACATCTACATCATTACCATTGTCATTCATTTCCCACGAGGGCTTGTCAGTACCCTTCTTAACGGTGGCAACTAAATAAAATCGGCATGTTCCATCAGATTTCTTTAAGCATGTGCGAGGTGAATTCTGCATAAATTTCAGGACTACATTATCATTCGCACAATTTACTTGACTAGTAAAATCTGAAATTGTGAAGAGAAGAGAATTAAATAATTTGAACAAAAATATTATAAAAAATAAACAAAATCTAATTGGAGTTGTTTTCAGGACCTTTTAACATTATCATTGGCGGCAGCAGTTTCATTGGCTTATTACCTAGAAATTTTTGGTGATAATCACAGATGTAGCAGTGATGTTTTGCTTACCTGAAGTTTTAATGTACCAAATACTCAGTATGTTGTCAAATAGATGCGAAAAAATTGCTAGTGATTCGAGTGGGAAACGAACACACAACTTCCAGATAACTAGCCTGGTGTAATGACCACTAGACCACTGAGCATATGCTTAGTGACTAGTGTTGAATGCAATCCCCAAGTAGCAGCAGGTATTGCAAATGTTACTTCAATGAGTGTTCGCATCAGGAAAATATCATAGGAGTGATGTTTTGCCCTACCTGACGCGTTATTGTACAGAATACTCAGTACGTTCCCAAATACTTGCGAAAAAATGTGCTAGTGATTCAGGAGGGAATCAAACACACAACCTCCAGATACTAGCCTGGTGTCACAGTTGTTTCATCTTGTTCCTTACCCTAGGTGGCATTGCAGTCTTGCCATTACACAGTATTTATTTAAATTTAGCTACAAGGGCCAACTAGCTTTCCTATGTGGCAATCCCTTCACAAGTCTCAATATGAGGATAAGGTTGTAGAGTTGCTTTTGATCATAACAAAAAAAAATTCTGTTACCATGACAGGAACGGAACCTATGACTTTGGGATTGGAAGGCAAGCATCTTAACTACCAAACTATTTAACTACCATGGCTTGTACTAGAACCAAGCTTAATGCCATGGAATACATTTTCAATACAGCCACATTGAGATACACAGCTCTATTTGTCATATTAATCCATTATTAATGTATTTTTCTATATTTATCTATAAATTTTCATTTTTTTATGTTTCTTACATAATGTACAACAAATGTGATTGTTATAATTATCATTATTATTATTGTTATTAATATTAATCGCAAAAGGCCGCCGAAAGCTATGAATAATGCTGAATATAGCTACATTTTAGAAAGATCTTTGCAAATTAAAGACAAATTACTCTTTAGATAAAGAACTTTGCCAATAATTTTGATTATAATATTGAGAAAAACAGGTAAGGTGCCATCATTATTACTCCTAAGAATAATACAGTAAAAAATGGATTATAACATGGAGGTATACAATTTTATATTTCCATGATTATACCAGACATGCTAAAATGTTGTGATGAATGTGACATTCCTTATTCATCAAATATTGACTTATTTTACTTTTAGTGATTAACATGGTCACTTTTTAATATATTTCATTCTATTAACGGTATATAATTTAGCGAACATTTTTAGGCGTTTTATCAGCGGCCTTTTGCAAGATTATGATGTATTGGAGTAGATCCAGATATTTGCAGGAAGGGGTTCAGAGCTCCTGTAGCATAAGTTTATAACTTGGGGAAACCGTCTTCTGTCCTTTCACCCTCCCATATTTTGAGAGACTTAAAAGCCAACAATAATATTATTCATAAATCACCCCCCTACCCATAAAGAAAAAAAGGCTTCTGACTATTTACCTAAAGTGTAACACCTGAACACATTTTTGTTAACAAAAAATTACTCTCGTTAAGGGTTGTAGGGGGTCCGGATGTCGACGGCCATTATTCCATATGGATCCGCCCAGAAGTACCTGTATCGTTTAAATATCATCATTCTGTGAAGCCAGTTGGCCAAACGCTGCAAGTATTGCCATATATAGCAGAATATTCTAAAGCATAATATTGGATTGGATTTATTCGGTGTAAACACCAAGGATAGCCCACGAAAGTCTAGAAGAAGACTTATTTCCAGTGGGGTCCTTCTGGTGGTGATTGGGCAGTACACCGGGAGACAATCCCCTACTCTTTTCCGAAGAGTGTACTGCGTTCTTTAACGTGCACATGGGCCATAATGCACAAGACGGTGCGCTATTGTAACTTGTATTTCAGCCCTCTAGCTGAAACACAAGGAGAGGCAGCGATGGGAATTGAACCAGGGACCTATAGATCTCCACGGTTCAGCGCACACACAGCGGCTACCACCAGATTAGCCGACTGAGCTAAGCTGCTCTCATATTGAATGCTGCGACGTCTTAAACTATAATTTTAGAAAGACCTTTGCAAATGAAAGTAAATTACCTTTTTTTTATGTAATTTATATAAAGAATAACATGAGTTAATATTAAATTTGTTTATAATGTTGAAGCATATACAATAGGATTACTGATAATTGATAATATAGTAAAAATGGATTGTACAATACCGTACATAAATAATAATGTTGTGACGGATGTATACATTTCTTAATCGTCCTGTATTGACTTATTTTAGTGATTAACATGGTCATTTTATAATATATTTTATTCCATTATATATAGAGAACCTATGCGTTTGTATCAGCTGCATTCACTGAATTGGTATACTCCACATAATACTATCCTCCTTTCATTGTACTATAATAATAATAATAATAATAATAATAATAATAATAATTTGGAAAGCGCTTTTTTAACAGCGGCACACATCACACATCACACCATCAATGGTGCATCCACAGTAAAACTATAACAATCAAAATCATTAAAACTAACAAAATCAAAAGAACACACAAAAAAGTATGATTAGGGAGAACGGAGTACAATCTCACTGTTCAGGCTTATTACAAGTAGAACACAACTTGTAGATACAGGGTAGCCACTCCCTGGGACATGAATTAACTTAACCAAGGAGGTGTATATGTATATATACATACTTCCTTGACTTGACTTACTAAAGGATATATACAGTAAAGTAAAGACAAAAAAGAAATTAACACCAGGAAATAATTAAATGAACCACACCTACATTTAAATAGTTTATTTACATAAATAAACCACATAAATCATGATGATGAGCTGCAATGAATAAAACATTATATAGTACTACAGTAACTTAATACTTTAAAAATTCTAGATAATAATAATAAATAGTAGTAATAAGCAGTAATAATGTAATTAATGACACTAAAAATATGAGTAAATAGTAACATCAGTCTACATTGATTTGTAGCCTTAATGTGTATGCCCTTTTTAAATAAGATCTACAGAATTCATCAAATATTGTGTGCGCTATAATTTAAAAATTTCCGGAAAACATGATCTCAGTTACTGTGCCCATCTAACATAAGAAATAAACCAACATCTTCATTGGACCCAAACAGATTCCATAATTCTGAAAGTCCTAAGTCATGAAGCTATCTATGCAAGTGTACTTTACTAACATAATATGAATAATGATTTCTCATTCTTTTGCTCCTGTTTTTGTAAAATTATTTTGTATGATATTTAATTGGACATAAATAGGAACTCAAAATATGCCAGTAATTTTAAGATATTTAAAAAGAATGGTGCTACGATACATTTCTTCCATAGCTGTGCAAGCGTGTGTACGTATAAATTGGCACAAACTTCTTGTCCTTACTCAAATTAGTATATGATTATCTGTACAATATTACTATTATTGTCAACAAAAACAAACTTACCCTCATAATCTTTAAGAACTATCTCCACATCTGGTGACCTGAAATAAAATAATTTGAGTTTGATTACAAATTACATCTAAACATTTTTGGTGTGCACATCTTTGCTGAAATCACCAAATCATGATTTTTACGAGGTACAGTAGATATAAAATTTTTTATATATTGATTAAGAACTTGCACATAAATCTATGTACACACAACTAAATTATATGCGACAAATTTGTGTGATGTGCACATGTATAGGCTTGATGATGTCATATTACAACCCAGTTTCCTAGGTTAGCTTGATGCTTCGAAATTTCATAGAGCATTGATTATGTGATATGAGGTATTGAGATGCCAATTTCCATTTATTCATTTTATCATCTTTGTCGAGGATCTCTTAGAGGGGGTGCCGTGACAAAGTACATGGATGACACCTACGTCTACGAGTGTGTTGGCAGGGATGGGACAAATGGGCTCCAAACCATTCTTAATGAGACTGTTAAGTGGGCAGATAACAACTTGTCTCTTCACATTAAAAATTCAAAGGAAAAAAGGGTTAGCTGTAAAAAAGTCGAACTCGAATTTGACCCACCCCATATTAGAGAATGTAACTTAGAATGTGTCACATAATTTAAACTGCTTGGCATAATTACTGCAAATAGTTCATCCTGACAGCCCCACATTGGTTACATAATCAGTGTCATTTTAGAATGTACCTAAACAAGTTCAAGGAGCTGGTCTTAATGACTCCAAACTTTTTAATTTCTCTATCAGTACCATTAGACCTATACCAGAATATGCATTTCCAGTGTGGGGTAGAGGGGCGGATCCAGGATTTGAAAGAGTGTTTCCAAAAAAACCCAAAATGAAAGGGGGGAAAATAATACCTAGATGGCCAGAAATGAGCTTTCCCAACCTCTGAGTAGTTTTTTTAATGACCTTTAAGTTCTTCAAAATTTAAGGTTTTTCCCCTCTTGAAAAAGGTAAGGTAATTTTACCTAATTCTTTCTGCCTATAACATAGAGAAAAAAAATCAAAGACATAGGCAATTTAGTATTATTCCAACATTATTAAGTAGTTGGGTACATAGTCTTTCTTCCAGTGGATCGATGAACTGATAGGCCTGAAGAACTCACTTTCCCGAAAATTATCTATGTGTTAAATATTAATTACTTACTCCTCTTCTGTCTGGAAAATGGAAGAACACAACATATTATCTGTGTTCCATTCACAATAAGGATTTGATGCACATTTACCATGTACGTATCGCATACAATTTACTAATTGAAATCCAAATACTTGGCCATTCGTGGTGCCGTAAACATAAGCATTTGTATTGTTGCCAGTATAATGTACACGTAGATCTGTCACTTCATCCAAGCCCTATGAGATAGACATAAATAATAAATGCCAGTTGTCTGTCAGACTAAAAGATGTTTAAACAGACAAAGTAAAGCATTTCCCAACTACATGATTTATTTGATCAGATATGTCTGACACGCTATCAAACTATATCGGCAATTTATACATGGTAACTGATTATAAGTAGCAACCGTGGTGTATTGACACCGCTCTTAAACACCAACTAACAGCAGCTACTAATAAATTTCATTTGGAAAACTTCAAATAAAGGAATAAACGTAATTTATACTTTACCTCATTGCTCAAATCAATCTTGTGAAATATTTGCTGCTGACTTTCACTTTTGTAGGCCATAAAGATGGCACCATTATCTATATTTCATCATTAAAAAGAAGTATACTATGTGTTAAAGTAGTCTTCTGGAAGTGGTGTATGTGATCGAGCTTGGACAAAAACAACGATTTCGGGAGGAATCCGGGAGAAATTATAAATCCGGGAGAAAATGTTGGGTTTCCGGGAGCCCGGGAGATCGATCAAAAATCCGGGAGACTCCCGGGTGTTCCGGGAGACTTGGGAGCCCTGGCATTCAGATTCTGAATTGATGCTAGGGTCTAGTTAGGCCACGGGCCTAGTTAGGTCAGGAGCCAAGCCTATAAGGTAGGTCTAGGTGCACAAAGATTACTAGGTTGGGTAGGCCAGGGCTTTGGAGATGTGGCGCAGTTAGACTATTTTAAAACACAGAATCGTTTCTATTGTTTTTTCGACTTTCTTTATTAGATAAATAAGCTCTACAATGGCGGATCCTGTTTGCTGCAGGGGAGAGGGTGTGGTGGGGTATGGAAAGACTATGCAGCAGTCAACTAAATCAGTACCCAAGAGTGTACCATGAATCATTTAACTAAGAGATATAAATCGGTCGAGTGAACTCCTTCACGTGAGCCTCGAAACACATGCATCTGCCCCTGTTCTGTAGTAGTAGGGGACACTACTACTAGTGACTAAGTGACCTTACTGGGGTATAAATATATATATATATATATATATACATATACATATATACATTTTAAATGCTAAAGAGCGGAATTCTGTGTGATTGAAGGTGGTGGTTGTAAAAAAAAAATAGGTGCCTTGACCAGGAATATATACATACATACATACAATACAGTGCCAAAGAAATAGCCCCAACCTGACCCTGCAACCTTCAGCTGTAAGTGTGGGCACCAAGGTTGGGGTTGAGGTACAAAATTTTATATCTATGGCACTTCCTAGATGTCCAAAAATGGCACTCTCAGACTAAAAATTTAAAGGTAATTTATATTTCTTTAAATACCAGCCCTCACAACCACCACCTTCAATCTACTTATTGGTTAAAGGCGGTGATTAATGAAGCGTTCGTCAAACACAAATTTTAGCCCATACCTGTACCAATTATGTAGACAGGTTTGCCAATCAGTTTATCCTCGACAACAATACTTGTATAAACAACATTCTGCATAATAAACAAGGGCGTTGGTGTGTTGTCTACTGCATGACCATTCTCAATAAGTGGATGAATCAGGTTGTATTTCCAGTACCTGTCATAAGACGACGCTGGAATTGGTGCAGAACACTTGATAAAACAGAAACGATAGTGTTAAAATAATAACAATAATTAGAGCAGTTACTTTATAGAGTCCATACCTCAACCCTGTGCCTGAATACCGAACGTGATATTCAACCTTGACCTGAAGTTTATGTCGACTGAAAATGATTAGAAATTACAATTGGTTAGGAAGATATGATCGATAATGTAAAAACACAAAATTGCACGTAGATGACGTCACACATGACTGAGTACATTGAAAACCTTATTGTGGCTATTCCAGGCCAAGCCAAATGTTTATTGAAGCTGTTATGTATGTAACTCGTGCCAATTTTGAGATATCGTGCTAACAAAAAATGGGGAGAAATAAAGAAAAAAAAAATCTCTGACAATAACTAGAGGTGATATGCTCGTGAGCCGATACGCTCATGAAGCGGATCACCACTAAGAAAGTCATAAATTATTTGGATGATTTGTTAAAAATGATATCTGAAATGATTTGTTAAAACATGTAGGCTAAATTCTGAACAATTCACTTCTTTATTATATGTGTGAAATTCATTTATTGCCCCGAGATCAAATAAAAAATGGAAAGTACGCTGTTCTCCCAATTGAAACAATTTGTCAATAAAATTCAGCTACAGTATGCACACAGTGTGGGGCGTTATCCCTTTTGAGTGGGGTTTGATTACATATAGCCTAGGTATAGATTGCAATGATGTTCATTTATCTGGAAGAAGGCCAGCCTAGACTACTTAGGCCTAATCAGTGGTTTTATTATTTTAGAATCGCAAAATTTGTACTGGTTGGTCACTTATTTTGACCAGTAAAATTGACGGCTGTTTATTGAAGCTGTCATGTATGTAACTTTGGGAGAACACTGCAGTAGCACCTTCCTTAGACTAACAAAATTTACTGAGATACAAGCTTTTGCTAGCTTTATCAGGTGAGCCTATTGCTCTAGATTTTATGTGACAATAAAGTGGTAGTATGTATATAATTGTTCTTTTTTGTTGACGAACGAGATTATTTACAGTATTAGACCTACAATATAAATTGTACAGTTTGGATGAAACTTTGAAAATATCCACTACAACAATGATAAAAAATTAAACAAGGACTTCTAAAACTTACTAGGCCAGGTCTAGGTGAAATAGTTTCAGCAAGCCAAAGATCCTTGATAGTTTTCTGACCTCGAAACATTACTGTATCCATTTTGTCCTGAATGGAACTTAGGTCAAACCAGCACACTGCTGACTGTTGCAAACTCAATCTAATAAATAAAATTATAAAAAAAATTGTCCTGAAGGGGATAGAAATTGTCCCTGACCCCAAGGACGAAACCTAATGCTCCTAGATTAGGGTCCCCTAGATTTAGGCCAATTCAATTACTTCAATCAAACAATACAATAATTCTTTATTCCAAACAAGCAATATAAATCATAAATGCCGAATAAAAATTCTAAAATAAAAGATCTTTTGGATTGGCCACAAGATAAGGAGGAAAACGGAAGATAAAAACTTTATTTCTAACGGTTCTTCAGGATTTACCAAGGTTCACAATATCTGATGTAAAAATTATGTTATTAAAGTACTATCAGTCAAAAAGAGAGGAAAATACCTCAAAAATTTGAAGGGGTAAAGTAAATTATTAGCTTCTAACAAGAAACAGATCGAACAAAAAAGCAGATTTTACAGATGTACACACATTTTATTACAAACATCCTTAAATTGATTATTACCCAATCTAAGAATATAGAAAATTGATGGGAGAATTTTTTTTAATTCAAATTTTTAAGTTAATAACTTACATCAATATACAAATGAAACAACTAAAATGTGGAATTAAACTGTTCACTTTTTTTTTACATCATGACTGATAGTACATCTTTAAGATGATAAGATCTTTAGAAACATATTATGATTGGATTGGATTTATTCGGTGTAAACACTAAGGATAGCCCAAGAAAGTCTAGAAGAAGACTTATTTTCATTGGGGTCCTTCTGGTGGTGATTGGGCAGTACACTGGGAGACAATGCCTAACCCTTTTCCGAAGAGCGTACTGCGTTCTTTCACGTCCACATGGGCCATAAATGCACACGGGACCAACAACTTAAATGTCTCATCCGAAAGACGGTGTGCTATTGTAACTTGTATTTCAGCCCTCCAGCTGAAACACAAGAGGCGGCAATGATGGGAATTGAACCGGGGACATAGAGATCTCCATGGTTTAGCGTACACACAAAGGCTACCACCAGATTAGCCGACTGAGTTAAGCTGCTCTCATGATAAATGGAACTCACTCTGGTGTTGTGAATACAGCATACACAATGTCAGGATCTTTAGAGGACTGATACATATCTCCTGTAAAGATAACAATATGTAGGTTGGAGTGGAGACTGCAACTATGTTTGCCATAGTCAGGATGAGTATTATCTCTATCTACCATGTTTCAAAACTCATTTCACTCACATCAAGTTTCATTAATTTAATCAGTCTTATTGATTATTTAAGTTGCATTTCCCCCTTGCCTTCATATTATAAATTTATATTAATTATATATTTCTTTCATTAAAAGATGTAATTTTCTCATGAAAAAGACAATAATTCATTAAAAAATATTTAACTTTCTGTATTCTGCATCGGACAACAAATCTTTAATTCCTAAAAAAAAAATAAAAATTCTTATAATGAACATTTTAAAACTATTCAGCAGTATTAAAAAAGAGCCTCAATAATTGATACAGTACTTACTTATTTCATTGAAGAAGAATGGGTCGTAATCTCCACCGATTGAGCAATCCAGTCGGGCTTTAATAAACGATATAAGTTTACCGTTAAAACTATCCGAAGTACCACCTTCGTCAGTCTGTGTTCAAGAACAATATGTAAAGCGATTTTTAATCAGACACTCAAATTCTATTTGAAAAAGACACGTGGCATGCTTAAAATGGTCATGATGACATCACATCATGACCATATATAGACATATCATGACTATATATGGGCATAAAACAGTTTTTAATACAGAAAATTACATACCGTAAAACCTCCAAAGTCCAATGGGCTTAATTACGAGATGAAGCCCATCTTGAATTGAACCCCCTCTTTAGTTTGCAAAATTAGCCTCGAAAAGCCTTGGGTCGGACTGTTCCATTTTTTTTCCGAAGGGGTGTTCCGTTTTGGGAACAATGGCAATTAGTCGGTTATCCAGGTAAGTATTCACGAAATAGACTGCAAAATTAGCCTCGAAAAGAAGCCCATAGGCTTCTTTTCAAGATAGCCTAGGTTCTTTTCGAGATAGTACAGTATATACACAGTAAATGAATTGCAAAAAACAAAATAAATTGAAAACAAGCTTGGTTTATACAGTAGTTTTGGTGATTTAAGTAGCCTCGAAAAGAAGCCCATCCAAAGATCGCAAAAAAAAAAAAAAAGAAGCCCATGGTTTCAATTTTAGCTTTCACAGCAATAAAATAATAAACATAACTGTAATGACATAACAAATAATATTCTGGTGTTTTTCTTTATAACTTTATCTTGGTATAAGGGCTCATTTACTTTCAAATGTGTTAAATGAATACATTTTAAAAATATTTAAATGTTTTAGCCAAATTTGCTTGTCTGATTTGAGAAGGAATTCTGAATAATGGAATGAAGCGATGCTATTCCAAGTTTTTTGGCTGGGATAAAAACCAACCTTGTGGTCAAGCCATTGGCCCTAGCAATATTTAGTCCAATGGGTGAGCTTGCTATATAGGATTAATATGTCTTTCCAATTTTTTGTCTTTATTGATTAATACTAAGTCACATTGAAGAGAGTGTTCCTACGTCCCTCACAGAAACAAGGGAGTAAATCAGCATTTTCTTTTGTAATCCCCGGCAAAAAAACAAGTTTTAGTTAATAAGAATAATGTAAATACAATTAATAATACTTTTGATTTGAACTCATCATTGAGGACGAGTTTGGTTGTGATCCGCGGCACTAACGCCCGTATTCTCAAAACAAACTTTAGTCGAACTTCGAACTAGAACTTCATTTAGTGCTAGTTGCAACTTCAATTTGTATTCACAAACAATGTAGTCTAAGTATTAACTACGACTAAATCAAGTCCTAGTTTTAGTTCAACTGAAGACGACTGGCAAGCCACGACTATCAAACTAACCAATGAAAAGAGCTAACTTTAATAGCAGACTAAATTTTAGAGATCGGGCAACGCGGATGAATATTAAGCTGCCATCTGTGGTTCAAAAACGTATTTCCTCATAATTCATAATAGACCATCATTCGCTAATTAATGTTCTATAATAATAACTATATTAGTTATTAACATATTACGATAAAGAATTTGAACAGTCACTGAAACTTTGCTTTCTTTGGAAAACTATTATAGTTGAGCCTGAGCGAGGGCGGTGCCATCTTTTTTGTTGTTATGGTAAAGCTAGGTGCAAATTAGGAACTATCGTATGTGGCTAGAAAAACACGTTAATTTCTCCTTTTGGAAGCTAAACTTGATGTCTCTTTTGTTTAACACACCGAAGTTACATCAAACTAAATAAGCGAGATACGTTCAAATAAGTAGAAAAATAATGACGTCATAAATAAAAATTCAGTTTTTTAAAATTCAGATGGCAATATGGTGATGCCACAATGTCCGATCAGCCATAATGATCTATAAAATCATATCTACAACTCATGTGCTTTCAGAATATGTACGTACGTGCACGTTATGATGCACGAACGGAAAATTAAGGTACTTGACATTCAACCTTGACCTGAAGTGTAAGCCCATTTAATATGATTCAGAAATGATGAATGTTCAAGATGTTTATGGGAATTTTGGAGGAAAGAAAGATGTGGGGGGGGGGGGTGTCAGAAGGGTGTCAGAAAAAACATTTATTTTGACCATGATGAAGTCATCAAAATGTAAAAAGAAGTCATATATGAAAGAATATTGTATTGGGGGTCACTTTTCATCCTAAGGAGCTATAACTGATTAAGAATAGGCCTGATTTTAGCATATTTACTGTGTACGGCATTGCTATTGGCCTTAAGATGACCGAAAATAATGGAAATTTGTGAAAACAATGTCAGGAACCTAAATAATGTAAAAAAAACTTAATTTCTAGCTTCCGTACGTGCTGTGCACATAAAAATGCGCGCACATAGTGGAAAATGTAAAAAAAATTTTGAAATGCTCACAATGGCCTGAAACATGCTCTAATTTAGTCAAAGAGTGATTTTGAGCATTTTTAAATTTTGATGCACGCATGCATATTTTGGTACGTGTTATTTCACCTTGACCTAAAGTTTATGCCTACTAAATATGAATTAGAAATGACAATTGATTAGGATATGATCGATAATGTAAAAACGCAAAATTGCACATAGATGACGTTACGCATGACTGAGCACATTGAAAACCTTATTGTGACTATTCCAGGCCAAGCCAAATGTTCCTCGAAGTGCGCATGTGCATAGCTCACAGGAATTTTGAGATATCGTGCGAACAGATATTTGACAGAAATGTAAAATAAAAAAAAAGAAAAGAAAAAAAAGATCTCTGACAATAACAAGAGGTGATCCGCTGGGAAAGCGGATCACCAATAAATACAGAATACTCACATTACAAATGCGGCCTACTCGTGAATATATAATCTTTCCATGATTTATATACTCTTCAGCAAATTCACGGAAAAAAAAGTAGGTGTAATCACCACGTTTAACAGGTTTTCCAACAAAATTTGCCTCTGTTAAGAAAAAATATATGATTATATTTTGTTTTCCTAGTATATTTTACAAAAAGTTAACATAAGGGCACATAGAAAAAATTATTAGATTATTACTCATTTTAAAAAAATTGATGAGGGCGGGAGTTGGATTTTCCCCCATTTTTTTTCCGGGGGGGGGGGGGGGGGGGGGGGGGGGGGGGGGGGGAGTGGAGAGATATATATACCCAGGGATTCCTGTGTGCATGAACAGAACGAACATGACGTGGCATCACCATTTTTCGAAGTGGCAGATGCATTCAAACAACTGTCGGCCCTGTGATTCAATGGCCAATCCAAAAATAGGCCTATATATTCCGGTGAAAAAAATCAGACATTTTTCGAGCCTCAAAGGGAAGGAAACACCCTAATTTTAGTTATAGTAGGCATAGGCGCCTAGGCTTTGGTCTTTACCTATACCTGAACTTTTTTTTTTGATGTCGTAAGTTAGTTTTTGCCAAACAACAACCAATCCAACCAAACACATCCATCACAAGGAAGACCGCCCACAAGTTATTTTTAGCAGCATGAGTCTCTGTAACATGTGAGTCGTCATGCTGTAAATCAACGATCCGATCAGTCAACTGGATGGGTCTCTTTAGGGATGGGCCACAATGTCGCCCATTTTTAGCTGCAGCTGTGAAACACTCGAGTCTTCACGCAGTGAATTAAGGATCCGATCAGCCCACTGGTCGGGTCTCTTTAGAGACGGACCGCGGCGTTGTCTATTTTTAGTCGCATTTAGCGAGCTGTTTATTTTTTGCGACAGTAAGCAACCAGTTTAAAGAATGGGCTTTGCATTTTCAACTTTACAGTGATCCCAAATCAATCGAGAGTTCCGAATTCGGAGCCAATTCCTGTATAACTATTTTGTGAGCATTTGTTTTTTGCAAAGTTATTTTTATGCAGTTAAAATAAATGCGAAAAAAAAAAAAATAAATAAATAAATACATAAAATTATTCCCCTATCAATATTTCCAAAATTGTTGACGCGAACGGGAGTGATAATCTAACAAATTTTTCTATTTGCCCTAATTCCAAATCAATAAGTAGGTCGCTTAAGTGTGTATGACTACAGTATATCAAATGTTACGTAAACCTAGCACAGGCTACATGATCTGTTTGTTTCATGCTTTGAACTTTGATCAAGACATGTTAAAGCCCCATTCCCGGCAAAATTTCACTAAAAATTGACTTTTTTTAGAAAATATGCATTTGCATTACTCCAATTATTATAAATCATGGAAAAATATTGGCATGAATTTTAGTTTTATGCAAAAGAATAAAAAAAATGAGAAATACAGACTATTTCTCATAAAATATTACCATTTTCTCAACGAATTCATCGTTACTAGGCAAATTCAGAGGTTGTAGATCGCATCCACTGGAATACTCTCGCTTTTATTTATACAGTCAATAAAGTGCGCCCTCTCTAATGAGATTACTTTTTGTACTTCGCATCTCGCACAATGCGGTCGTTCGGTTAGAGATTTGTTTGTTTGAGTGTCAAAATCTCAGTCAGAATCAGTTTTTAACAAATTTGAAATAATTCCTGTGAAATATTATATTCACAAGTGTCAATACTAGCAACGGAAAATATCATGTCGGCCGTTTTTATGTGTGATAACAGAACCTAAATCGAGGTAAGGCTAGGCCTAGCCTAGCAGCATTGAATAGGCTAATGTTTTCGGCGCCTACGATATTTCTTCTCATGACCTATCGCAAAATCAACATGAAAAATTCATCCGCATTTATTTTTTGTGTGGAACACAAAAAATCAAATTTCAGTCTTATTTTA